TCACCCACTTGTAAACTGTCCGATAAGCAAACGACAAGATAGGTTCTGAGGAAATTTAGTCTCCTACGTGGAGGAACAACCATGATTTCAAAAGAAAACCAATTGGTTCGATGAGGAGTTTGTACGCTGTACGGTGTCAAACAAAAGCAACCTTGACAAACGAGAGTTGACTAGGGGATTTTTTACCAGTTACCAGCTGCGTTGTAGCAATTAAACTTCTCCGGTCCATTAATACGGATTGTAGTGAACACATGTAATGAATGCAGCTTTGATTCCCTGGCCTCAGAACCACGATCATGTTTCATCCAATAATTTTGACCAGCTTTACTGACTCAACGATCTGTGCTGGATGGCCAATGAAGTCAGCGTTTTTCCACATTTAGTGTCAAAGGATAGGCCTGGATCTGCGAGCAGATTCACTTTGTTGTGCCGCCTTTTGTTCTTTACAAAATTTCGGGAATTTCAAATAACTTTGAGGGAAATGATATTTAGTTAGACGGTGCAACATTAGCTTCAGAATTAGACAACAACTCTGCACAATATGTCGTTCAAAAACTTTCCAAAAGGCTTGCCCAAAATAATCAGCTTCTGTACGTCCTACGCAACTCAGCTAACGTCGATCCTATGTGGTATTGTGGTGGAAATATACCTGAATGCCAACCCCCTGTGGCAGACACTGGTTTGGCGCATTGCACAAACGGGAGATTCTTCAAAATCAACCGAAACTCCGGTTCACATCAGTTGTTATGCAAACCAGTTTTTTTCAACGTTGGTGACACGAGTTGAGCAGGGAAAGCTCATTAAGCGATACGCATCAGGTCACGCTGCGCTATGATAGCTAGGAAGAACCCCGCGAAGCGCGCACAGACTCACTGAACAAAGAGTGGACTTTTCACCTTTCGAAGCAAAGTTACAAGATAACACTCGGCTCTCACACAGATCCACCCGTATTACCGCGACCGCCAAGTAAAACGGTTAGACTAGGCTCATACACCCGATGGTCTGGCAGTGAAACACCCCGAATGCACAATAGTCCGACAATGAAAGCCCTACGCTTGACACTGGGACAACCATGCGGTCATTTTGAGGGCGGACTTTAAATGTTGTGCAACCGGGAGCGAAAGTACTCTTTTACCTTTCATCTCAAGATGTCCGTGGTGTGATTCGTCGCTACGTGTTATCTGTCTGAAGGCACATGAGTGTACTGGGGGGGGGAGATGGACCAAGTGGTTAGAGCGCGAATTTACTGACCGGAAGATCTTTGGTTCGAACCCGACATCTGCCTCTCGACTTCCCCTGTCTAGGCTTGGGCGACTTGACAGTATCCCAGCCCTCGTGCCTTCGTGTGGCATGGCATCTAGGCGCCTAAAGGGTGCTACAGCTGGACGATTTATTTTTTATTTATATGAGTGAACTGAGAATTATTACTAATACGACTAACTGCGGCTATTTTTGATCGCATCACACGTTAGTTGAAAACACCACGGATGAAGTGACAAGGTCACCCACTACAGGACAGGAAATTTCAAAATCATTCGGACTGCTGCAGTGACAGTGGGCTCGAGATGGCCTAGCAACTAAGTTACCCGAATAGTTCGAACACAGTTTTGGATTTTCAGTTGTTACTGTCCCGGTTTAGGCAACCCGGTAGTTGCAAGCTTCGTGCTACTTTGGTGCAGCAAGGCAACAATGCACTGAAAGGTGAAAATAGCTGGATTATCATTATTTTCAATTTGGAAGATTGACTTGAAATCCTAGCCGGAACAAGTCAGTGACCGAATTTTTTCAACCAGGAGTTGGTGCGACAGGCCTAGAAAATGGGCCACATTTTTGTCGATCGTTTGTAGTCATTTTCGTTTAACCCCGTTCGTGGTTTTAGAGCGCCAGCATTTTGTAGGGTCGCTGTGACCCCAGTACTATGCCTTTTTGTCAGCACATGCAGAGTACCGAAAGTACCGTAACAAAGTTCGAAACAAGCCTCGGCATAAATGCAGTTCCCGTGGTTCGACCGAATGTAAGCGTGTGATTAGTTGCGTGTGGTATACGGCGAAAGATTTTAACCATTGTTTGAGTCTATGTCACGTATCAGCAACGTAACCCTTCACTAGCGGCACGTTTTCACTTTGCTTTGTACCATCTGCTTGCACATTTACCCGGAGAGTTGTGAATGCGACATGATAACTTAGCATTTAATATCAAATGATGTGTTCTATAATGGTTTAAAAGTACACTAAAAACAGAACTCCATACTTAGGAACAAATGTTCTTAAAAGACATTTTGTGTTGCATTTGAAGAACAACCTGCTATGGGATAAGCTGCAATAAACATTTCTAGATGCGTTAACCTTATTTCATCCGCAAGAACCATTCAACTTTTACGGCATAGTTACTGATGGCGCCAGCACACGCCACCTCGTACGACAAAAATTCATCCTTACAAGTTTGTAAATTTAGACGGGCAGGTGTTATAGGCATCAAACATTCAAGACACAACTCACAGATGATGTACAAAACACGTGACTAAAGCCGACTCCCGAAGATTTACACTCAGTCTGCAGGTAGCCCTGGGATAGAAAGTTGTCTTTACTTAACGGACGTCAACGAACACTTTAACGATTATCTCCAGACCATACTGCAATTGTTTCCACGTATTATTCTAGACCTCAAAATTCTGCTTACTCCATGTTATGTGGAGGCTTTTTACGACTCCGTTGAGAAATACCCGCATTGTACTGACATCTACAGGCATTGTCTGCTACAGCTGACTTTACTCTGATTGGGATGGAGCGAAAAAATCTGGTCCCCATTTCCCGGCACTTTTCAAAGTTGACCACAACGTGAGTGGATCTGTGCCGCGTCGGCAAACACATTTTACCGGAAATGCTCTTGTGGATCCTAGTCAGGGAGCCAACCGCGTACAAACCGAGAATAGTTAAGCGCCAACTTTTTCAGTTTATCCATCCATATAGTCAGTTGAACTCCAAGGTTCAAACTGAGCAAAGCAGATGGAGCATAACTATTCCGTTTGTGCGGCCGCATTCTTGGGACGTGGCCCAGCCGATGAAGTCAATCGAAGGAAGTTCTGATCCTTCACTGTCGAGTAAGGGGTATGGTCGCACTTCAGCACTGATTATACAATCCTGTCACAAAACACGGTAACTGCTCAAGGAAAAGCGATGGCCAAGTCTAGAAAGTTGTATTTATGCCTTCACACCCACTGCAACCCCCAGGAAAAAAGTACTCTCGTCTCTTAAAAACCAATCATCGAAGGTTGGACAAGTCGCCCTCACTGTTTCAATCCCAGGTGTTATTTAGGAACTTGCATCTTTTCTGACTAACATCTGACAAGTCAAAATTTCTAGCTGTTCTACAGTGGGAGTCAGTAGAGTTGAGGTTGAAGGCCAGGGTTGTGCGAGTACATCCCAACTGGGTAATTTGCCTCTAACAAGACTGCATCGTCCGCATATTCTAAGTCGGAAGATATCTCCTGGACAAGATCTATGCCACAAGGGAGTCGAATAGGGGAAAAGGAAGTAAACACACTTGATGAAGTTATCTGAAAGGACGATAAAATTTTATTCAGGCAGACATGACTTAATGTCATCCTAAACAGCCTCAAAGGGACTGACGATTTGTTGGAGTCACAGGTTTCCAGGGGGCTGTTTCATTAGGAATTTCCATCCACCGAGCCGAAGACTGGCATGCTGTTTAGGAAGACTCTAATAGCTGGCTTTCGGCATAGGTCGCAACGTTTCAAGTTTCGTCGCCATGTGAAGATCTGGTTACAAGAATCACGAATACTCTGAAAGTCAGCTAATTGCTCGCGTCACATCAGTTCGCGGACGGGGATCAATCTGCGAAGAATGGAGACGGCTAGGATCCTCGAAACGTATTCCCTGGTGCTTAGCCCAATGGGCTGTTCGACCTTTCTTGAAGAGATCTATGGTTGATATCACCCAGTAAGTAGAAATGCACTATAGTATCCATATTTCAGTATCAAAGTCAGTCAGACAGTAGTGACACCATCATGTTTGAGTAATTAGGAAAGGAGCCTTCCTCAGTGGGAATTTTGATGTTCTGTGGGTAACCAACGGCACCGGGCACTTAGTTAATGGGCGGACTGAGTGGGAAAGGACAAACTTACGTATCACAGCTGTTAACATAGGTGATTATCGAAGCGCCGTGGTGAAACCAGAATACGAAGTGTTTTGCCGAATTGTCCAGCCGTCGACGAAGGCTCATGATCAGCGTTCTGTCACACTCATTTAACAGCGAGTTGCCGTTTTGCGGCTTAGCTCAAGCATGAGAATTATCGTATCTCAGACGGCTCGTGCATAAGCCGAGATAACAAATGGACAGAGTCCTTTCGCCGTGCAGTTCACTTTGCAGTTTCACGAAGCCTGCTGTTCATTGGTATCTAGTCCGAAAGTGTGGGTTCCACGCGTTGACTCAGAGATAATCCAACACCAGCCAGGCTCGTGGACAATGCAGTCAAATCAGCGTCAACAATGAGCCCCGGAGGTGACCAACGCGATGAAACATAGAGCCTAAGCATTTCACTTTAACATGCCTAGAGAGACGTCAACTGATAACTATTAGTGGGGTTTTCTTATGCCCAGAAGAAAGTGCTCCATATTGGATAGTGGTGCTCCCTTAGGAGTGCTCAACATTTTGGAAGTCAATTCAAACGCCAATTTTGGAACAGATGGGCTCTCCGGTTTGGGTAGTTCTTGTTCGAAAAGAATTTATTGGAGAACCCTTTGGACGGCCCTGATCAAGTTACTCTACCTGATTGTGGGTAACTCCCAGCTCATTGGCCCAAACGGTCTTGGGCTACTTTCGACAAAAAAATTTGTGTTCACAAGAAAAGCACAAAATACTGCAGTTTCTCATAGCAGACTTTATATGGCAAACCTAGGGTAGGTCACTCACATCTACAGGCAGGTAACACATACCAAGCGGTCGGTAAGAGAGGGGGCGATTACAGTGGCGGTCACTAGATTTTGGTGTCGCTGAAGACATCCCACGTGTTGGAGACGGATGAAGTAGACTTTCTGAGAAGTAATAATCTACTGCCTTCAGAGGTTGTTATAAGCGAGTCTACATTGATTATATGCGTTAGCAATGAATGCTACAGAGGCTGTGTGGGTTTGAAAACTTTATTCAGGCTTTCTTGAATGGATTTGACACACTGGGATATGTCATTTGGACTGCTGACATGTGCTAAAAATCAAAAAAATTACAGTGGCGGTCACTAGATTTTGGTGTCGCTGAAGACATCCCACGTGTTGGAGACGGATGAAGTAGACTTTCTGAGAAGTAATAATCTACTGCCTTCAGAGGTTGTTATAAGCGAGTCTACATTGATTATATGCGTTAGCAATGAATGCTACAGAGGCTGTGTGGGTTTGAAAACTTTATTCAGGCTTTCTTGAATGGATTTGACACACTGGGATATGTCATTTGGACTGCTGACATGTGCTAAAAAATCAAAAAAAACTTTCCCTTGTTAGTGCAGACTTCAACACTATCTTACATGAAGACTCGTTCCACGGCTCATTATACATTCTTGCAATACTTACATCGCATGTAATCTATCAAAGTGTTACCGAGGGAGAAAGGGGTAAAAACACGAGATCATCAGGGGAAGCCCTAGCAGTCGACGAGTGGTTGAAAAATGACACAAGATACTGGGAGAATTCGCATCAACTGAAAGTAAAATTTCACAAGGGTACGCAATCCGTGTGACTAGACGGCAACCTGGGGTTATTTCAAATGGGATTGTGACGGAAAGGATAATGACAAGGGGCAGGATGATGGAGAGAATATGAACAAGTCCGCAAAGACAACAGGAGAAATGAGGGAGGAAGCTAAACCCAAAAATAAATATGGAAGGATACCCGCGAAACTTGTTGGCGCGAATTCAGTTGGGAGGACCGTTTGATATTCTGCAGGGCCGTCGACTATGTTTCAATCGGCAAGTCGTTCGGTGGACACACAAGAGAGAAAGTGGGTATTGAAAAGGCAGCTGCGAAATGGCGCGCAACAGGAATTTAATAAAGTTAAACTGATGAATCAGAGATCATGCGAGTGTAACCAATGGCAGAACACGCTGTCCAGATGAACTGTTCTTGCGTCCGGTGCCCATGTGGCCTTGATCCTCTGGCGGTACCTTGTTCGAAGATTGTAGAGTGCCGGAACCTGTCCCGGAAGCAACATCTGCCACGCCAGAAAAGTTGTCAGCTGGTGTAGCCGCTGTAGTTGGTGTAATCGACTCACATAAGTTCGTCGAGTAAGTGTGCGAAAGATTTCCTAATTTCAACTGTTCACGCATTACTGCCACGTGAGCTGAACCGAAAGCTTCTCTACTTGGCACAACATCGGGGTTCGGTTCTGATGGGGCCTGTTCTGGTGATCCTACACTACTTGCCAGTCTCTGCATTGTACGGGCGCCATCGAAATTCGGCACAGAAATTAAGTGGAGAGCGTCTAGAGACAATGCATGTGGTTCAGGCGAAGAGGCTTGGCTTTTCTGCTTGAAGATACTAAGAGTGCCTCGTTCTTTGGTTTCATTGAGCCTGTGGATGCGACAGGAAGAATGTGGCAGGGACATTTATGGGTAAATGGGCTTCGATTAAGTAGTAAGGAAAATAATAAGTATGCCACGTGGATTAGTGTAGGCTACATCATAAAGAAGAGATAACTTCGATTTCCCCAGCCATAGTATTTGCATTTTCTCATAGTTTTTATGGCGGTGGAAATTATACACAGTTGATCAATAGGGGCGTTGTCTGACTGAACGTCATACACATATGGGCAGCGACACAACTAGAGAATACAGGCTTGCCACAAATGACTCATGAGTCAAGAACGTATGGTCGCTCTCTATCATGATGTGGAGATGTCCTTACCACAGCTGAGCCGGTTGAGTGGGAAGGGTAGAGGGACAGAATTTCAAGTAGAGATTGCAGTCAGCAGCCTACGTTTGTGCAGCTGTTAGCTTTTTGTCGATTTCACGTATCAACTAATATTTTATGTATTCTTTCGGCTGCATCAGTCACTTCGATTCCCTGAGATCGGAACGTGTATCGAATCAGTTACCGCTCTACCTCCAAACGAATTACAGTCAACCGTTTGAATGACTGATGCTCCTATTCTGCTCGCCTACTCTATACTGTTAACACTGCCTCCTAGCTAGTCCGATTTCACTGCCACACTGGATTCCGAGTCCACTATCGCATTCAAATCTGGACGATCAGTTTCTAGATGAAGAACAACTGAACGAGAGTTTGTCCAGAATACATAGGTCAAAGTAGCAGAAACAGACGAATGTAGCTGGAGCTACCTACAAATAAACTAACTGAACTAACAAGTGAACCTCTTGTTCGTGATAATCTCAATTAGAAAGACTATGACTGTTTTGTTTAGGCACTCTGAATTTAGTATACATCAGTTTTAACAGATATTGAGTGTTCCAGTCCGTGTACAAACGTAGTGGTTCCGCTGTCGTAGACCGACGGAGGAACATGCCATAGGGAGAGTCAAGGGTTTCAGTTCATATAACTTTCACCGGCCTAATCTAGACTCCGCCGGTGGAAAGCGAAAGGTTGAGGGGGTGAACCTACGGCATTTATTAGAGAATAATTTGGACAGACAACCCAGACCCATGGGCACAATTTAGTGAATTGTTGGGTCTTAGAGCATTTCCGATCGCTTGACAGTCCAGCCATGAGATACTCATCCTAGAAGACAGCAGCCGTCGAAGAGACTGAATTCGTTGATTCGGACTCTCATACTGTTGCCAAGTCGTTGTTCAACCCCATTCAGAGCATCTTTCCTCGATAAATGGCTGATGGGAGGTAAACTTTGGCTACCATTCAGCGATTGTAACCTAAATGGTTTGTCCCATGAAGTATGAGCAACTCATCTATCGATGAAGAGTTGCCTCACGGAGATCCAATGTCCAGAATCCCCACTAGACCAGGACGGTGCTTTTGGACTGCCGATGGTCAACAGGCATCCTAAAGCGGATATTGGCATGTCAATCAAGAACCTTTAATTAGCGGACATAATTCCACAGCTGAACTTCAGGAAAACTGCTAGTATGCCTCATCCATCGATCTGGTTACCTCAAAAACAAGTCTACTCTCCGTATGAACTCAGCTCGGACTACTTAGGATGGTCGAAGCAATAAATGAGCTAGAAAATGCTTTTGAGAATCAATATTGCCTCCACAGACAAGGTTGCAACCAGATCGGATAATGCCCGCAACATTTTCTATAACTGAAGCGCACACCGCGACACAACAAAGAAATGAGTCTGAAGGATGAGGTGATTGTGCGTTCCGAACAGTCCAAAACTGGTCTCTTAAGGATATTATATAAGTGTGTGCTCAAGACGATGCACGTAGATGCTTGACTCGGTTAGCTACTACAACTTTGACTCCGATAGTTCACAAGCGAAAAAGATTGGCATCATCTTTGACACGGTCATCTAAAAACTTGGGTCCACGCCGTTAAGTCCGACCACAGATGTCCATGACTGTCTATGGCCTACATCACTAGATCGATCGGTGAGTCCATATCTACGAGAGCCTTGGCATATGCTTCCAGGTTGAGACAGCTGCCATCTAGGTATTCGATGAGCCGGACCATCCTCGCACAAAAGATAGCTCAAGTAAAATGAAGTAAAACAAGTTCCTTACTCACATAACGGGATAAATAACATAGCGTTCTATCGGATGTTGGGAAAAGCCGCTTATATCATTCCGGTTCAAACACCGATTTCGTCTTCTACTAAGCAGCTGGGAGTGATACAGCTACCAATGTGGGCGAAATATTCGCCACATTGATTATTGATCCAAATGTACAAGACTGGTATTGCAGTGAGGCGTACACTAAACCGCGTGATACCATCTGTTCAAATATTGAAAATAAATCGTCCTCGTTTCGAAGTAACCATAGTTTCATCGATGCTAAAGAGCTTCTTGGATTCTATTCCAGAGAGGGTACTTTGACTGTTTACACGTGTTGTGAACGGATGAAAGAGAAAAACCTGGACGTCTGTGTGATACAGGTGGCTAAAGTTAACTACGTACAAAAGACCTCAGAACAAACGTAGCTACGCGTCCACCGGCGGAATCGGCCAAGTACTCTCTCTACCCACCACGAAACTAGCTTACAAGATTAAGGGGAAATAACACTTATTTTCCTGGGGGAAAGCGCAGTCATTCATACTAGAAACAAAGCGACACAGACACCAGGGGTGATGACTTGAGGATGCTAGGACAACTAAAAAAGCTTAACGGTAAAATCCGCGTCTACGAAAGACTGAAAAGACGTAGAGGTCGCGCATCAGTAGCGTTGGAAGTCTGAAGCACATATGTTAGAAAGAGGAGTGACAATGACCACCTCTCGTCAGTATACAGAATCGTGCTAAAGAGACCTGACATGGATGAACAAAGCGTCCAAAAGAGACATCTACCAGGCTAAATCGTGAGAGCTCACGTGTCATATATGATGCCGTCTACTCCAAGCTCGGATAGTTGTGCTCGCTTTTCTGGAGAATTGACCGCTTCTCCCCAAGCCAGCACGACAAGACCATGGAGATGAGCGAGTTTGAGAGCATCTGGTACTTCTAACAGACGATCACTTTCCAGACAAACTCCCTAGAATTGAAAGAGGAAGGCGATGAGGGGAACGGAAAATGGATTGACAGACACCAATAAAATCGTGCCACTTAGATTAATGAAATCACCATGATAATCGGCTGTAAACCATGCGCATACAGGACTCTGCTTCTAGCTACTACATTCCCGCTCACCGATAAAGGATTGGATTGCACTGGAGACGACACCTGATTTGTGAGTTCGGCGATTACAAAGGATGTTTTGTTATCCTTACGACAATAAGGTAGCAACTGAATGATGAAAGCAATCATTCAGATCATTGAGTGCGCGAAAATATTATGTTCGTGAGTGTTCCTAACTTGCTACGCCCCCTGTCTCCTTCGGTGAAACGACGACCATTTACAAGCGTGACTCAGTCATAACTTTTATACGTCACTGTTCCCTAAGTACCAAACGTCCCTCAAGCCGTTTCTACCTCGTAAGAGGTTGAGCTAAAATGTCCATTAAGTTCGGTCTACTAGCACTCAAAGTGAATGACCAAGATAGTGTAATTTATGGTGTTCCAAGAGGGATTCGACACACGTTACAGCGCTACGATCTACGGGTTGAGAAATCGCTGATCAATTACCAAAGATTTTGTCAACACTTAATTGCAGCGTTAAGGCTTCTAATGCACGAGAGTAGAGTGCACACTGTAGCACGCAACTTGGGACTTTGACGGATAGCCTCCCAGGCCTTGGCCGATCTTCCGGTTTGTCGCTGCTGAGCCACTAAAAGTCTGAGCGCAGTTGCAGTTTGTGCTGAGCTGAGTGTGGTGCATATTGCAGACTCCGATGTAAATTTAATGGAATAGCACGAGCGACTAAACACAGAGGCTTGTTAACAGCCACCAAACGTGGTCGCACATCACTGATACCAATACACCAGTTGTGAATACTGGTGCTTAACTGTCATGGCGTAAAACTGAAAAGAGACGCCAGTTCTTTGACATCAAGGCACTAGCATCACGCTTCTCGACTCTTTCACATTGTGAAAGAGAGTGGAACTTCGCACGAATAAATAAATCATCCTGGAAGATGTTCATTACTGTGCCACTAATGGGAATGGACAGCCAGGCAGTTGACGAGTGACCAAATAGATGCTGATATGCTCACCTCGCAGTATGAAAGTGGAGTCGAACTGTTATTGATAGAAATCACA